AGAACAGAATATTAAAAGCTGTAAGAGACAAGAAACAGACCACCTACAAGGGAACACCCATCAGAATTACAGCAGATTTCTCTGCACAAACCATCAAATCACGAAGAGCGTGGGGGGAAATAATTCAAGCATTGAAAGATAATAATCTCCAGCCAAGATTGAGATATCCTGCACAACTGTCCCTGGAAATTGATGGAAAAACAAGGTGCTTCCAGGATAAAGAGGAACTGGGGGAATTTGCAACCACCAATTCAACTCTACAGAGAGTATTGCAGGATATTCTAAAAAAAGAAAAATACAAAGAATCCAGAAATAATGGCAGAGAGGCCACAACGAATGGAGCAGAGAACAAAATGAAGAAGACAAACTGACAGCTACGGACAGAAAAAGAGCTTAACAGAAATGAGGCAGAGAAGATTGGATGATAGGAACAGCTATTTTGGAGAAAATGACATCTTAATAGGTAATACAGATTTAGTATCATCTTGTTTTGAAGTCTCATCTAGCTTTTGTCCTTCTGTCTCCAATGGTCTAAATAGGCTGTATCTTATTGGATTTTATTATGTACGATAGTATAAGCAAAAACCTTTTAAAGACAAGGAGATTATACAGAAACCATTGTTCATTTTGTTAGTCGATTCTAAATACTCTGTAATGCTGTCATTCTCTTGAATGGTTTTACATTGTTTTGATATACTTAATGCTACAGTATACGAAGTTGTACTCAAGGATTTCAAAGAAAGAAACAATATGGTAACTACTTTTAGGTTAGGATTATCTGGAGGTGAAACACTATTCTGCTTAAATGGTTATGTTTTGATCTGCGCTGTTTCGTTGTTATGCCCTCTTTTATCTCAATCTCCACTCCATTATTTACTTTTTTATCTTTATCCTTTTAATTAAAGGAAAAAAATAGCAGGATATATTATAGTAACCCACTTTGACTTTTCATTACCTTGATTTAAAGCCCTGTATTACTCTCACCATCTGGTTTTTAACTGATGTTCCCCTATTCTGTTTTGCTGGATAGTATCAGGTTCGAAAGTTTAGGCATCAGCTGTGAAGATAATGAGATTCATTATGACGCCCATTCTTGTTGACTTTTGTCTACTTTTGAAGACCTACAATGTCTCCAATGTTTTGGTTTTGTCGGTTTTGTTCTTTACTGTTTTGTTCAATTGTATTATAACTAATGATATAGGCAATTCTATTAGAGATAGCGGGAGGCATTATGGTAACCATTGTTGATCACCTTGTATTATGTTTTTACATTATCTATTATGTCCACCCTTTTGACTTGACCGATTCTGTTCTGTTATGTCACATTTGGTTTTACTCTCTTCCAAAAAAGTAATAAGAACCGTGGGAGCAATGAAACCCAAAATGTGAAATAGTCATGGTACAAAAGAGAAGAAAAGAAAGTGCTCCAAACTATATAACTGCATGTATATTTAAGTGTATAAGATAGAAAATGATATCACAGAGTTTTATTGGATCAATGAACAGAACTGTTTGCAGTATCATTGATGGAATGTCCACTTTACAAGCTCTAATTTTGTGACTTGAACAATTATTTCTAAGATGACAATATGTAATCCATTAACTAGTGATTTCCTACTGTTCATTTTTTTTCTGTAAATCTGTATAACTTGTACCCTTTCCCTGCTTTTTTTTTCTTTTCTCCTTAAATAAAAATTAAAAAAAAAAAAAAAAAAAAAAAAATAAAATAGAGGTGTACAGTGAGTAAACAGGGATAGTAGTAAAGCTCCCTCCCACTAACTGTAAGACCTTGGTGAGTCAGGCAAGAGTGTGGGTGACCCCTTCCTGCACACAGAAAACATCAGGCAGGGTGAGGAGTGTGCCAATAAGGACTCCCCCAACTTGGAGAAAATCAAAAGGGCTTAGGAGACACACAGGCACACAATAGGGATACAGTAGGGCCTCAGCCAATACAAACACTACAGTCAGGGAGATTTGGTGATCTGGAATAACCTGAAGATAAAGTGACAGCAGGAACTAAAAGTTGACCTACATCAGTGCTACTAGGTTTGTCAGCCAGGAAGAATATAGGACTCACCCAACAGGCCCTGCAGTGGAAGTCAGGTGACTGGCACACCTCTTCATTGAGGGACCCACCAATTGGACAAACATCAACCTTACACTAGGGCCCCCAAGATTCACACTATCAACAGTTGACACTAGTGGGACTGAAGGACCAAATATTAACTTGAAAGGGGAAAATGGCAAAACAAAAATGCGAAATGCATTCTCAAACATCTAGTCCACCAGGAGCAAGCACAGGAGACATTGAAATAGAGGACTTCAAAAATAACACTGGAAATCTCTGAAAAGATACTTAGTGAAATTTAAAAAAAAACAACTCTATGAGGCTCTTGTTCAATATTTCAACATGTATGTATTATAGATGTTTTATACCTTAGTGTATTATGATTACCTTGAATTTTAAATTGTCAGTATAGTACACACAAATATTGATGCAAGGTAGAAAATTACTCATTAGAATGAGGTTTATGTGTAGGACTATTGTGCATATATTTAACTTTCAGTAACTCAAAATACTTTTATTAATTTACTAAATCAAGAGCAAGGTTTTCAAGTCCCAAAGTTATGACCTACTTCTTTCCCCACAGCACTATTGTCAGACCATATGATTACTCATTATGGAATATTTCACAGTAGTTTAATTGTATTTAGTTTATGAGTATCAATCAGAGCTACTCTTCAATATGTTCAGGAATTTGTTTCTTTTCTAGTAAACTTTAGAAAAGGCTTAAAATATGGGTCATTCATAATTATTTATGAAGAGTTATAGACTATGAATATTATATTTGGGTCTTCATGTACAATGCAAGTGTTTCCATATTTTCATTCACCTTTCACTGAAAACCCTTTGATATTGAGCCAATTTAACATCATCTTAATCAAATGCATTATTCTCAATATAATAGCTTATCCATATTTACTTATGCTTGTAGTCAGAAAGACATTCTCCTCTGTTAAATTCAAGGCATCATTTTTTGTTCATATTTTTCTCAGTGAAGTAGTTCCATTCAACTTTGTAAAAGGTTCAAGGGTTAGGACTATGTAGAGGCCTATTTTTAGAAAAATGTTTCCTGTTTTCTTCTCATTATCTTGCCTCTCTGAAGACGATGCAAACTCAGTGAGTGTGTGGTGTGAGTTATTCCATGGAAGTAGCCTTAATTGCCTCTTCATGGTTCGATTCATTCCTACACACATAATGAGCTATCCTTGAAACTGTATCCCAGAATTTCAATGTATGAGTTGCTAGGCAGCTTAGCCAATGCGAATCAAGCAGAGCAACAGTCTACACCAATACCTACTTAAACATGAATATTGATTGTCATGTGTTGCTCAAGGAAAAAATTCTACCCTCAGGTTATAAAATGTTAACTTGTCCATAGATAAATTGCCATGTATATGCTTATCACTGTTATCACAGCACACTGAAACAGTAACTCTTTCAAATAACCTCACAGTCAATGGCTTTAAAGTACAGTTAGGTGTCCTGTTGCTACCTTTTTCCTACTTGAATTTTTCCTCCTGTTCTATGCCCATCATAGTGTTATAGATACTCATCTTGGCTGCTTTTCTCATTGCTGAGACAAAATACCCAGCATCCACAAGTTAAAGGAGAAAAGGTTTGTTTCAGCTTTCAGGCTGTAGAGGTTTCAGTCCATGCTCACCTGGCCCCAATGCAGGGTGGCCTGGAGAGGAGCTTTGCAAAGGAAGAGCAGTCAGTCCATTGTGTGGCCAGGCAGGCAGAAGACAGGGAGCAGCCTGCAGCAGCCTACCCCATTGTGGCCCCTTTATATACCATCCCATCTACAGCCCTACAGAATGGTGCACCTATATCCTGGGCGACACGTCCCTAATTCCAGCATCACAGCATTAATCCCAGTATCTCACCCTTCATCTCAGTGTCACACGCTTAATCCCAGTGTCACACTCTAACGCAGCCACCTCCAAAATCCCCATCTATGATTGCATGAGGCTTTGGGGGGACATCTAGATACAAGGCATAACAATAATTCAGAATTTATTGTATCTCATGGTATATTTACCTGATGGCATATGTTACACTTTTCTTTTTCTCATTGTTTTAAAACTTGTGTGATTTTTTTTTAATTTGTGTTCCAATATATAGGGAGCTGTTGCTATTCCATCTGGGTTCAATAGTCCTGACATCAGTTAGGTTTCCTGAAGTTATGATAAAATCATACCACCTGAGTTTGCTTTAATAGTCTTTAATAACATGCTCAACATGGGGCTGTGCACCCAAAACTGCCACATCCAGCGGCTTCTACCACCTGGCAGGACTGTCCTATGCTCTTGGATGTGAGTCATACACATACATCGAAGGATTCGAGCTGCCCTTGGGCCAGTAATACATGCACCACAAGTGAGTGAAGTTTGTGGGAATGTGTAAAACCTTCAGAACAAAGAAGGTCTTTTTATTAGCCAGAAATTGATGAAAACATTTGTATTTCATATTTTTTAGAATGTAAAACCCAGCAGAAATACCAGGTGACAAAGATTCAAAAGACAATGAAATGCCTAAAAGAAAGAAAGAATGAATGACCATATATGTTCATTCATAGTCCAAAGACTTCTGCAGCAACGGAAAAGTCCAAACATCAACTGAATGATGCGGTAATGTGAGGACACACAGAAAAGAGCACAGCTGTACATGGCCCGAATGATTTCCGAGTTCACCCAGGAGGAGAAAGCCATATTCTCACTTCTCTGAGGATCGGGGATGAACCTTTCTTCTTGGTCTCTCTCCTTAGGCCCCCTCAGTCCAGTTTATAGGCACAGGCAGCCTGCAGGAAGGACACTTGCCCAGCCTGGGCTGCAGCGCTGAAAGAGGACAGCGCCACCAAGAGCCAGGAGCAGGGGCTGCAGGGAGCCGTGCTAGGAGCTTTGCAGGAGCGGGGTGGGGACTTGGAGAGGTGCTCTGGGAAACCAGGAGGCTCAGAGGGATCCAAGGGGCAGAGACACAAAAAGAGAGGCTGAGACACAGGACCCTGGTGTGCTGGACACCCAGATTGATGGAAGTCACCCAGAGAAACAGAGGATATGCGATTGGACCTGAGGACTGGCGGAAATAGCCAAAGAAACAAGAAGGGACCTATGAGACACGAAGGGACCTGAGAGACTTAGAGGAAGCCAAAGATAAAGGAATGGAACCCATGCCCTGTGGAAAGGACCGAAGAGGCGCGGGAAAACCCGAGGATGAACGAATGGTTCCGAAGCCTGGCGGAAAGGACCGAGGAAACAAACGGAAGCTCAGCTTGACAGTTGGTTGACCAACGAGCGGCGGGGAACCTGAGGCCGTGGGTCTTGACCCAAACATTGAGCTGGGACTATGGAGGAGGAGCAGACCTGGAGCCCAGGAGGTCTCTCTGGGAACCTCGGACAGGCCAGTGCCCCGAGAGGGGTGGAGGAGGTGAGGACCCAGGAAGGAGCCCGGGAAGGACTTGGCAGGGCTGGAGCTGCTGCACACCCTCCCCCTGGAGCTTGGTGGCCAGAAGGGAGGGTTCCAGGTGCGGGTACCCAAGCGGCATGCCTAGCCCAGGCTGCTCTTTCCAGGAAGCTGGCTGGATCCTACTGGAGGTTCTGGCAGGGTGGGAGTACTCAAATAGCTGGGGATTCCCCAGGGTCCCGGGATCTGCTCTGGGCTCAGAGGTCCTGTGTGGGTTGAATCCTGGGCGCCCAAGGGAGAGAGAGGAGAATGAAACCTAAGGTCTAAGCCCAGGAGGGGCAGAGAGAGGCAGTGGAAGCCAGGCCTGCAGGAGACTGCCAGGATGCAGTGCAAAGGCCAACCAGGCCTTGTGCCCTGAATGTAACTGAGCCTAGGACAGTGCCCAGAAAATATGACAGCAGCAATAAACTAGTGTTTTGAGTGCTGTTAGTCTATTTTTACTGTACACGTTTACAGCACATTCCTCATGTGGAGTTAGTACATGTGCAAAGCCTAACGAATTTTCACTTCTCCCCTTTCTGCCATCTCCCTCTATCTCTTGGTAGCCTTCCAGTTTATGAAAGATCTATTTCCCTATGTCATTCTTAAGATAACGTTTGGCGTTATTAGGTGCTGGGTAGAGAAATTTAAATGTAAGCAGAGATCTCATTACATGTTATTAATTGTAAAAAAATTGAACAGATTAAAATATCAAGACTGACTTAATTTATATATAACTTTGTGTCTTGGGGTAATGACACCAACAGTCATGAGTCCACAGATAACAGTACTGTTAGACATTGGACATTGTCATTAAGGGACTTAAAATAGAATGTTAGAATTCAATATTTACAGCTAAAACCAATGTTATGTCATTATACAGAATTCATTTAGATATATTCTCTCATGCCTACTTCAAAGAACAAGTTACTCAGCTGATTTTTCAAATTTTTCTTAATATTTTGTTTGTCTTTTTTGTGCATTGTTCTATTTGGATTTTATGTCTAATATATGTGAATCATGAAGATATTTAAATATGAGCTTTATGACACAAACACTCACTTAGGGTTTGACCTAGAAGATAAAATTAAATGTGTTTTACACTGTACCTCCAGGAAGACATATGAATAGCTTATGTTATCTGTTTGGAAGTAAGATAGCAGACCAGTTAGAAAGAGACCATTAAGAGGTTCAACTGAGGAAGGACAGGGATGACTTTTCAAAACAGAATGTCAGATGGGGTTATGTTTCAGCAAGAGAGCCCTTGTCTATCCCTGTAACTGTGCCTCAGCATTTACAAATGTCATTAATGATAAAGCAAGAAATCTTGATATTTTCCTTTATTGAATTACTAGCACTTGATTGGGAAGGCTCCATATTTAGACCAGGAGTGCAGGGCACAATAATGGAGAAGACAGGAATCTCAGAAAAGACATGGTATTGGGAAGTGACATCCACTAAATATAACTTTGGAATTGTTCCATTGATATTCCTGTTCCATAACCCATTGAAAGCTCAACATGTGACTTTGGACTAGAAATGGAAAAGCTGTCATTGCATAGGTGGTAAGTTTAGAAAAGGAAGAGGATTATTAACTAAGAAAAGAGCATTTGGACAGAGAAGAAGTAAGTTCAGAAGGAAGCCCCAGGACAGTGCCACCTCATGTGATGGGGGACTAGGGAGGATGTTTTGGGATTAGGAGAGTAACAAAGAGAGGTGTAGAGAGGTCAGAAAAGGTGGAGATTGTAAAAAGGGAGTTTTGTCACTTGATATAATAATGCACACATATTTTAAAAAGTCTGAATTTTTTCACAAACTATACTTTGAAATGTTAAGCAAAATAACATTTTTTGTTGTTGGAACAAACATCGTACTTCAGTAGGTGGAAATGAGATTGGGGAAACAGGGTGGACATCTGTGAGGAAGGACTGTGATGCGGTGGAGAAAGTGAAGAACACAGATACAGTATCTATTATTAAGAGTGAGGTAGATTTAAGCATTGTTCTGTGAGGAAGGAGCATGAGCCACAGGTGACTAGGAGTAGCAAAGGGACCTTAATGGATAAAAGGCAATTCGGTGTGATTAACTGCAGAGAGGACGAGCTCATTTTCCCCAGAATAGAAAGGAACAGAGGGAAAGAGAGACACTGAAGTATTGGAAGGCCAGCATGAGCATTCTTTTTGTATTCATTTTTTTCTGAAAATTAAGAGCTATTTCTGCAAATGAGAATGAAACAGTACCTTAAAATAACAAAGGGTTAAATAACTACTAAAGAAAGGTGATGGTCAATGTGATCATTATGTACAAGCAAAATGTATTTTTAATTAATTCATAAGTTCAATAACCAAGACAAACCATAAATGTGATTTAATTATAAAAGTTAAAATGTATGCTATCAAGTATGTAAAGCTAGGCACAACTTGTGAAAATGTATAAGTGGATTTAGGGTCATCAACTCGAAATCTTTGACTTTCCTTTTCGTGGGTAGAGTCCAGTCATCATGTTCACTTCTGTCCTTATGTCATCACCGCTCTGAGCAGGCAGAAGCACCATAGATGATGAGGCTGGAGCCTGGCACTTTCACTGCTGACTTCCTTCCCTTCTGGTGGCGTTCAGTGACCATCCAGCACTTCGGAATCTGCCGTTCACTGCATTCTTTTCCATTTACTCTGTCACTCTGATCGGAAATCGTGGCATGGTTGTGTTAATCACTTCCAGCTCCACTTGCACACCCTGATGTACCATTTCCTCTGTGTGCTCTCCTTACTGGATATGAGCTACTTTTCTGTCATTGCCCCCAAATTGCTCATGAACTTGATTTCCAATGAGAAAACTGTCTTTTACAATGGCTGTGCTGTGCCGTTATGTTTTTTCTGCTATTTGGATGACAGAATCTTTCCTCTTGGCTGCCATGGCTTATGACAGGTACACAGCAGTCTGCAATCCCCTGCATTATTCATCAGTTGATTTTAACTCCTGTGTAAATATGTGCACATTGTTAATTACCTCTCCAAACTACTCATTTTAAAATTCTCTCCTCAAATGTTAATCCCTTCATATTGTCTGAATTTCTTTCCATTTCAAATGATGATTTGTTCTCCAAGTCTCCTGAAATCTTAGTATACTCTGAAGACTCATATTCTCTCTTAACTTGTCCTTGTCATCATTTATGTATGTCTTCCAGGCCTCTCTAACGTTTTCCCATTAAGTCTTATTGAACAATCTCTTAATTCTTTATCAGGATATGTATCGCAGTCTAACTGTGAGGGAAGCAATTGGAAAGTTACTATAGATTGTTTTTAGTGATGACCCCGTGCAGAGAGGAGAAGTGACATGGAGAAACTGGTCATTCCTGAGTTACTTCTGCTTCATACTCCAGGGTGGTCCTCTATGTGCAGTTAATGAGTATAAGATATTACCAAGTGCAATAGCAAATATTTTAAAATATTGAGAAAATTAAACTGTGGGTCATAAAATGTGTTCTCAAGAGGACACAGGGTGCAACATGTCTTGATCTGTAAGTGTGCAGGTAAATTCTGGGGAAGGACACAGCAAGAACCATGGGTGAGAACTGGAGCTGCCAGTGTCTTCCACAGCTGCTGCAGCTCACACCTAGAGCAAGGGTGGCGGGAAAGTTCAAAAGCATTCAATCCAAATGTGAGGTAACAATGGCAGAGGGAATAAACTAAAAAGGAAAACTATATGGGAGTGAAAAGTACATGCTGAATCATAAGTATAAGCTGCAGTGCTTTTTCACGTGGTGGGATGTGTTTTCATAAAGAAGGAGTTTGTCCACAGAAATCAGTAATAGAGCTGCAGCCCATGTGAGCTTGCAGTAGGGAAGTCAAGAGCAGCATCCCAAAGATGATGAGCCCTGCGGCTTTGCCCCGAATCCTCCACAGGAAGTGGTCTCTGAAAGGTGTGGTTCATTACAGAAGAGAGATAGTGCATTCCTGACATGGCCCCCAAGATAGGCCAAACCGGACACTGTGAATGAAGTTCTCTGGGGTTCATTATCTAAATTCGCTTTTTGGGAATACAGGATCTGGGGCTTAAAACATAGTGTGCTTTGAGGCATCTGATTTTGATCAAGTTCTCTGTGATTGGAAAGAAACTGGGAAGTCATGATAAATAAATACTTTATGAAAAAAAACATAATGGAAATTTAAAAACATTACACTCCTCCTGCCTGATAGTCCAAAGTAAGGCTGGCTGAACCCAAGTGCACCTCTGTAGTTCCCAAGCCTAGAAATACATCTCATTTCTGCCAAGCTGTCCAAGAGTAGCCTGCTTAGCAACTGATGAGGGAGACTTTTGTCCTAAAATTCCAGGCAACCTGCTTCTGTACTTCTGCTTTCAAGTCTATGGACACTTCAGCCTGACTGCAGTTCCTGCCAATTCTCGGGAATGAACCCCATCAGTCCACTGGTGCAATAAACATACGCCATCCTACTCCTTGGGGAAAGGGTCTTCCTTTTGGATCGGTACTGCTTCTGCAGCAATATCATTTCAGGTTAGAGAAGAAAATAAATTTGTGAGAGATGGGGCCACATTTTTATTTCTTTTATGCTGTTAAATCAGTAAAGCAAGACAAATAACCTGGTGAAATTTCCTATCTTTATGAATGTGTTGATTCATACAATGTTTTGGAATATGTAAGCTTAGTCTTAAGAATCTGAAGTTGTGTCATAATTTTTATAATTCTATTAGTTGATAAGAGATTTTGCTGTGAAAAATATATATCCATAGCTACATTTGATTACGGTACAGTATCACAGCACTAGCTGAAATTCAAGCATTCATCACTGTCCACTAGCAATGCATTATGCAGAATAGGGTACCATTTTATTTTCTTGCTGCACAGAAAGATCATCTAGCTATAGAATGAGAGGATGGTGACAAAACTGCACTTCACAACACCACTTAAAGCCACACAAACAATTGCACACCAAAAAAAATACATTAAAGACCATACAAAATGAAAA